CGTACGATGGAGATTTCAGTCAACCAGTCCACTTCAATCCAAAGGCCACCAACTTGTCTTCCTCATTCAAATGAAAATTGGAGCCAAACTCCATGGATGAAGCTCCAAGAAAGCTCCAAACTCAGCAACTCGAACCTCATCAAATCTTGATCAAAAATCATGAAATAAAACCCTAACATGCTCTATTTTTCACCCTGATTTCATCCATATCATCATCATCAATTGATACAGTCTCTAGTAGTAGACACGATCATGGATTCAGAAATGCTCATAAATTCAACCAACACCAATCATCCAATTAAGTGTCTCAATGTCTTCCTTACTCATCACTGATCAAATACAACTAAAAACCTAAAGTTCTACTTGCATATCCATGGAGTTATAAGTCCAAACAGAAATTGTGTCCTTATATGAATCATTACCAATTCCTCTCAAACTCTCCAGAAAGTTTCTCCTAACCACATACATTACTTCTAACATAACAAATCTTGATGATTCTATCTAATTCAAGCCATGGTGATAAAGTTACTAACCTGATGAAATGAGGTAAACAGATGGTGAAATCCTCCAAATCAATGCTTGCAAAGCTCCAGAATCACTCAATGCCTTGATATCTTGCTTCTGTTTGCACTAATTCTTGATCAAAATGCTTGGATCACCATAACCGATTTTCATTTGCAGTTGGATGTATGAGAACTCAAGAACACGATTTGGCCAATGATTCACTCTGATTTTGATTGCAATACACTCAGTGATGATTATTGAGTTGATTTGGATCAAGAAATTGAAGAAATGATGAAGAATTGGGTGAATTCGAAATTGAATTGCAAGTGAGCAAGATGAATCTCAATCTCTCTTCCCTGTACCAAATGAAGTCCAATCTTGGTTTAGATCAACTCAAATTCATATATAGGTGATGTTAGAATCCTCTAGAATGTTCTGGATGGCTCCAATGAGATTAAGAAATTCTCATGTCATAAATTTCTCCTTTGATGATATCAACATATCAGTTCTAGTTTTAGCTCTCAATTCAACTTGTCTTATGTTCAATTTACCTTCTAAGGAGATATTGGATGTGTGTGGATAGTTAGCTTGGCTTGAATCAACTTGTGTTGGATTTTGGTTGTGTAACTTGGATTTCAAGTAAGAGGTTTACAAAGCAAGTCCATGATTCTGACCTCTAATAAAAAAAGTGTTAATGTCATTGTTTTTAAAAGATTTTTTCCAATTGAAATGAGTATTTGGATGATGCATTTTGGACTCATAACTTGAAAATTACATTTTCCCTCCATGAATCCACTTGAAATTCTTCCATATTCAAGCCATTTTTGGGCATTTTGTGATGCAAGCCATTCTAGCTGACCATGACTTCTTGTCTAGCCTAAAAATGCCATTTGGAACACATCTCATGTTGGACATTTTTTCATTTGAAGCTTGCAAGTAGGAGTTTTAGGCATATGCTTGAAATGACCTATAATCTTACTTTCCCAAAATACCCCTGGCTTGTCAAGGTCATAAGTAGAGCTCCACAAATCAGATTGAGGCATACCATACCTTTCTAGAAAGCTAAGATCATGAGGAACAACTTTCATGTTGGCCAAAAATCCATTTGAAAACTCCTTATGGGGTAAACGTTGCTTGGAAATCAAGTAACTTTCACAGATAAATTTCAGTGTCCTCAGATGACTTGTAAGTTGCAAGAACCATAACTTGAGTTCTATAAATATCCTTGATGCCTTCCACCACTCAAATTAAAGTTCTTGAGATGTTCTACAAATTTCATGTTGGCCAAGGATCCATTTGAGACTTGCTTTTCAATTACTTTGCTTGGAAGTTTGACCTAAATCAGGGAATTTTGCACAGAACCCCTAATTTAGAAACTTCTCTTCTTCTTGATCTCTTTTGATTTCTCCTTGGCACAACACCACATCCATATCCACACATCAAATGATGAATCCCACATCCTTCAAATAGGCCTTGATGCCCTTCAATCAAGCATTAGACTTAGGGTTGACCTAGGGTTGACCCAGATGAAACCCTAGTTGACTGTCTTCAACTGTAGTTCTTGTAACCACACCAATAACTTGTATCATCTTCAAAATGACCCTCTAGGTCTTCCATGATGTCTCTACACATTCCATGCCTCAGTCCGCAGCTCACAACCTCTATGATGATCTTCAAATACTCTCTAGACAGGCTATAAATCCACTGCTTGGCCTTTTAACTTCTCAAAGCTTCAATTTCTTTCTTGGTGACTTGGATACTCTTGAACTTGAATAAAGACCTTTTGGATATGCCTCTTGAGATGAAAATAGCACTTGATCCCATGTTGGATGGCTTGCCCATGCTATGCTATGCAAATGAATGAAATATGTGCATGATCTACTATGCAAATGATAAAGCTATGAAAACACAAATCAGGTAAAACCAGTTGGTCAAATTTTAGGGTGCAACAAGATGACAATCATAACTTGAGCTAAATTGCCTTGAAGATAGGGGCCAAACTAGGGGATTTTACACTGTCAAGCCTTAGAAACCCTAGCCTGAAACTTCTCAAACTCTTCAATCATGAGGAGTTGACCTTGGAATCATCCTTATAACATCTTAATGTATCAATCCATGATCACATGGCTCCTGGATTAAGTCTCAACATCCTTCACATCCTCAGTTGACTTAGGGTTGACCCAGTCAAACCCTAGCTGCACCAATCATGGCTGAGGCTTCTTAATCTTGCACAATGACTTGTCTAGGCCTCAAAGTGATCTTCAACACTTCTCATGAGCTCCCTCAAGACCTCAAATCTAACTTCATGGCTTCAGAATCATCTGATGGTCTTCCCCATAACTCTCAAGTTAGGAGACCCACATCCTTGGTTTCAACCACTCTCTCTGAGGATCTTTTAACTTCTCTGACAAGGATATCAACCCTTGAACACCTGAATAAGCCTCTTAGCTAGCTTCGTAGTCTTGTGTAGCTCTTAATTGGTAATCATACCTCTTGATCTCCTACATACATGTCAATGAAACGCAAATGATAATGCTAATGTGAATGAAATGCAACATAAGCTAGGTAAAGAAAGGTTGGGAAAATTTTGGGGTGCAACAGCTGCCCCTATTCAAACGGCTTGGACCTGACTGGGTGAGAAGCAAACGGCTCTCACACAATCAAGGTAAAAGACGGTTGAATACCAACAAACCCGGAAATTTTCCAACTGCACGAGTACACGGTACTCTGATGGGAACAAATCTTCGGAAACTGAAATAATAGATGCACGGTAACTAGCTGGAGATTTGATCACACGGTAACCGGTAAAAGGTCTAATCTCCAATCTTCGTCCGGATGATCATCTGATTTTGCTGTAGATCTTCGTCCTCAAGTCATTAAGGGGTCGCGGGCCATTCGGCAACCGGCTATACATAGCTGATATTGCCGTCAGGCATTCTGCGGCATTGCTGAAGAAGAATTCCTCAGGACTCATCAGGTCATTAGGGACCTTTTAAAAATCAAGTTAGTCATGCCATCGGGCATTCAAAGGAATTTTCGGGCGTCGGCCGGACTTCATCAGTAAGTCGGGAATAGAATCCTTGGTCAATCATGAACCAAATAGGGATATCCAAACTTCTGCCATCGGACACTCCGCATCAGCTGAGAAGACTGCTTCGACATTGTAATACCCAAATTTTTACCCCTAAGATCCCACATTTCATTTGCATTTTTGCATACACAAACAAGACCATACTTTTTGGTTCTCTCATCGCACTTGTGTTTTCTACTTGCTTTATGTTTACTAACCTCTAACCAAAATACCAAAAATATTTTTCAATTTGTTTGTTTCTTCTTCTTCTCTGTGTGTTTAGGGTTTTGCAAGGAGATTAATGGCAAAGACATTCATTCAAGTTTAAATCAGATGGACGTTTGACCTCATCTTGGTCAAACTATCAAGAGTTTGCTTCAACTATAAGTTACCCGTGGTGGTGGGTTATTTTCTCAGGAAATGAGATTGTTCAATGTCAATTTGTCTTGTATTGAAATCCAGTGATTTATCAAGCAGTGTTCTATGAGAAGTTTGGTCCAGATATTCAGAGAATTATGTCAAAAATCAAAATTGATGGCCGATGATTCAGTTGCAAATTATTCAGTGGTTCGTCTTTGAATCTATCAGGGTAAAGTCAGAATTTGGTTTAGATGATAGTCGCTTCAGAAAAATACAAGTGTTCAGAAGACATCATTTGTATTGTTGCTATGCTTTCTATTGGAAACTCAATATTTTACCATCCAAGGGATAACATGTCTGCTTGGTATGATTTGCTGCATTAGAGCTACTCATGAAGATGAATTGAAACAAGAAAAATTTTGCATCAGAACTTGAAAAGGTTCCTCTTTCAAGTGATCAAGCAAAACCTACAGACTCAAAAGGAAGTAAGCTTTCAGCTGCAGCCAAACCGTTCAGTCTAGGAATATTTTCTGCTTCTCGCTAGTTAAACCTTGTTTCTCTTGCAAGCCTATTCTCCCTCCTGCTGCTGTCCAGATCTATTGCGAGCCGGCGATACACACTTCTTAACAGGGTTCCTTTACTTCCCCATGAAGAATTTCTTTGCAAAGAAACGATGCTTATTCATACGACTTGGTTTCTCCTAAAAAAAACAAAGATGTCTTTCATTAATTTGTTGTGTTTTCAGCACTGTGCCAGTTGGTTACTAATGAAGTTCACATGATTTTGTTAAAACTGCATTTGTTTCTAGTGATGATACTACTTCTGAGGTTTCTGAGCTGGGTACACTGACGCATGGAAAAGACAAATGTTCTGAACATACTTGGAAGCAATGTTGGAACTAATGTGAGAAAGATCTGCTGGACATTGAATGGCCTTTTGTCAGTTTATCAGACAATGTAAAAGAGAGGGCTGTTAAATTTATGGAAACAGCAGGTGAATATATAAACGCACGTGCCTTCACAATGGATAGTGAAGTTGATCTCAAGTATGCTCTGAGAGTGGTGCAATGTATCCTCTTATGGATTCTTATGTTGAGCGAATGCAAGCTACAACAAGGAAATGGTATTTGAATATTCTGGAAGCAGATAAAACACAGCCCCCAAAGAAAACTGAAGATGGGAAGCTATACACCCCATCTGCTGTTGATCTATTCAAAATACTTGGAGAACAAGTTCAAATTGTCCGAGATAATAGCACTGATGTCATGTTATACCGAATTTCCTTGGCAACCTTTCAGGTGATGATTGATTTTCAAGCAGCTGCAAGGAAAGAGTGTTTTGAGGCTGCTCAAGCTGGGGAAAACGGGATAGGAAGTGCAGACCAAATGGAGAATGGTGGGGAGGATGAGGATAAAGATGACCCCCTCTCTGACGGGCATTATGGTTATCCAAAAGCTGAATCATATAAGTGGGCATCCTGCATTAGAGTTCTTGATCCAAGGACAGGAAATACAACCTGTCTTTTGGAACTTCAGGATAATGAGGCTGCATTCAGTGTATGCACAGTAAATTTTCATGATAAAGAATATGGAACCCTTTTAGCTGTTGGCACAGCCAAGGGACTGCAATTTACGCCCAAAAGGAGTTTAGCTGCTGGGTTTATTCATATATATAGGTTTCTAGAGGATGGAAGGTCTCTTGAACTACTTCACAAAACTCAAGTTGAAGGCGTTCCTCTTGCTCTAAGTCAGTTTCAGGGAAGGTTACTTGCAGGAATAGGACCTGTTCTTAGACTGTTTGATTTGGGAAAAAGAAGATTATTAAGGAAGTGTGAGAATAAGCTATTCCCCAACACAATTGTCTCTATTCAAACCTACCGTGATCGAATTTATGTTGGTGACATCCAAGATTCTTTTCATTACTGCAAGTATAGACGGGATGAAAACCAACTTTACATATTTGCTGATGATTGTGTCCCGAGATGGCTTACGGCATCATACCACATAGATTTTGACACCCTGGCTAGTGCGGACAAGTTTGGAAATATCTATTTCGTACGGTTGCCGCAAGACATATCTGATGAGATAGAAGAAGATCCTACTGGCGGGAGGATCAAGTGGGAGCAGGGGAAGCTGAATGGAGCTCCCAATAAGGTGGAAGAAATTGTACAATTTCATGTTGGCGATGTGATCACATGCCTGCAAAAGGCCTCTCTTATACCAGGTGGTGGAGAATGCATTTTATATGGAACTGTTATGGGAAGTATTGGGGCATTACACGCTTTTACTTCACGAGATGATGTTGATTTCTTTTCCCATTTGGAGATGCATATGAGGCAAGATAATCCACCTTTGTGCGGAAGAGACCACATGGCGTATAGATCTGCCTATTTTCCTGTTAAGGATGTTATTGATGGGGACCTATGTGAGCAATACCCAACATTGCCAATGGATTTGCAGCGAAAAATTGCTGATGAATTGGACAGGACCCCTGGAGAAATTCTGAAGAAACTCGAAGAAGTACGAAACAAGATTATTTAAGAATGATGATAGAGAGAGGTATTGACGGAATTGGCGGAATCATGTTATTTGAGTAGGTTGTTTGGCCAACGTTAGAGTCACTAACAAAGTGAAGAAAGCCTGTGTTTTTCATTCAATACGGGAAGGTGAAAAGCCTAGGTTATAACTTGAAGATAGAGATGTACGCAGCAAGTGGTTGGCCGTCAATTAGTGGTGACGCTTTAAAGGTCCTGGCTGGAAACATTTCTTCTGATTTTGACTTTACTGATGAGGTTTATAACTTGGATCTTGATGATGAACATGAAAATCCTTCTCAAAATCATATTGAGGTTCCAAAAGGTGATAATTCTGCATATGGAACAGCCTTTGCTGCTTTTCCAACAGAGAAAGAAGGGAGAGAAGCTTGCCATGCCATTGCTTCTTTATGTGAAGTCAGTTCGATCAAATCTTTGATTTTAAACTTCATTCTACCCCTGCAGGGACATAATATATCAGGAAAGGATAATCGTGTTCATTGCTCCTTAAATATCAACACAGATACAAGCTGTATGCAGAGGACAACTTGCTCGGAAAGTATACAAGGGATTGCGGCAGGAAGCTTCTAGTCTAATCATTCAAAGGTTTTTCCGCATGCACATCGCTAGGAAGCAATACAAAGAAATTTACAGCTCAGCTATTTCTATTCAAACTGGTAAAAAAGAATTACTGGATATCTTTAGATATGTTACAGAAAAGCAGCAAACAACATTTCAATCCAAGTTACCGACTTCAAGTTTGTGGCAGGATTCTTGAAGCTGCTGCTTCAATGGTGTGCGCATTTGATATTCCTCTTGAAACTCTTTTGATCTTCATTTCAGCATTGCCACACGAATTTACAGATTATGGTGGCAAATTAAGGTCTACTGTGCAACAATGCTTCTCTAGTTGTGGTTATAAGGATTGTTGTGCCGATTGTTGTATGAATGACATTTCTAAGAAGCTTGTTGATATATTTCTGTATTTGTTGGATGATCTGGTTCAGTTTGCAATATAGTCTTGTTCCGTTTTCTGGTCTGGTGCCGTTGCAGAGGACACTGCACTGCCTGGTGCAGTGAGAGGAAAACTTGGAGGTCCTAGTCTGCGGAGGTTGCCAATTTCTGCCACCACTGTTGTATTGCAGGCGATGATGTCAGTGAAGGCCATGTCATTAATATTGTTATGGTGCAAACAAATTAAAATAGGATCTTTGCTTAGCTCTGCTTTTACTTTCATGTGGCAATTCTTCTGGAGGACTGCTAGATCTCCACATTCTTTCTCAGAGACACAGGTTGAAGTTGATGCAAACGAAATTGAAGCCGAACCGTAATTAAGCCATGAGAGCCAATACATGTCACGTACTTGAAGACAGAGCGAAAACGGCTCGAAATTGAGGTTGAGCTGAGGAAACAATTCATCACTTATCCAAGCCATATTGCAAGCCATGTGAATATAATCTCATCCATGTTACACTCCAAGCTGACCCTACAAGCTTTTAAAGTTGTTTCTAAGCCATGAGCTAATTGCAAAAAGTGACCATCCACGTCATGTAAGTGATCTGAAAGAGAAAAAGCAAAACGACGTCATGAGCTTTAATTTGCAAATAAAAAATGACATGAAGATTTTTCAACCACAGGTCACACATAACTTGCATCCCAAAACGCAGAAAAAAGACCCAAACGACAAATCATTTTCACTCATTCTCATCTATAAATAGAACACCTACCTCACTCTATGCTTCAAGCTTTTCAAGCCAAGAAAGTTCTGCAAAATTTACTCTAAATATTCACTCCAAAATTCATCTTCAAGTTTCAATTCCAAAATTCAAATTCACCAGCAACAAGTTTCAATGCAAATCAACAACCGTTCTTTGGAAGGAAGAAAAAGAAGAAGAATCGAAGCGTTGCTCACCTTGAATTAAAGGTAATTTGGAGTTTTATATCGAGACTTTGCGGTTTCGATTCGGTTGATCCAAGCACCATTACACAAAATTGATAACACATTTGAGATGTACGTTGGATTCCGATCACAACCGTGTTGGTTTTGCGTCCTGCAGCTTTGATCTGAACAAGCTTCGAAGTGGTATCCATGACCGTGAATAGTGTCCAGAGCGCAAGAAGAAGATGATGTGTTTTTTTTTCTGATTTCTATTTCCTTTTTGTTTTTCTTTCACTTGTTTTTTAATATTTTTTCTATTATTTTCATTTTTTTTTCTTTTTCTTAAAAGATTTGGGCTGTATGGGCCTTTTAACATTTTTTCTTGTTAATAGTTTTATATTTTAAAGAAAATTCTTAAAAAATTGATTTAAAAAAAATATATATTAATTTTGATTAATTGTAATTTTGTTTTGGATCTTGAATTTTGATAAGATCTCATCAATATCAATGGACTTTGGGTGTCGATTTTATCCACCAAGAGAGGTGATTGATATTGATGATGATTTAATCGATTTAAGATTCAAATTGAATTTTCTTTTCATTTTAATTCTTTTTCTTCTTCTTTTTATTTTTGATCGATGAAATCCATGGATCATAGATTGTTGATTATCAAGGTGGTTTAATCTTCATTATTTCAAATCTATGGACGAATAATCATTGAGATAATTCTCCTTACTTTGGAATAGTGATAGATTACCTTTGATTAATTAATTAAAAATCTTGATTGTGATGAGATCACTACCTCTTTTCTTTTTGTGTGGCATGTTTTAGGAGAGTGATTTACATATCACTTCTCTAACATGTATTAACACTAACATTTTATTGATCGGCCTCAGATAGTCGTGGTTTCTACATAAACCCGATTACGATTGCTTAACATAGCGCTAAAGTGTCCCTTAATCGGAAAATGATCATTCGTGACTCAAACTTACGTTTGAAAGTCCAAGTATAATTAGTTGCTTGTCTTAAGTCCACTACCTATGAAACTCATTGTTAGGAGGCTTTGATTTTATCAAACCTCTAATGAGTTTTCATTAACCTTGGTCTAAAGTGCAAGAATTAATCATCATGGATCATATGTTCTAACCACTAATTACTAATTCACTAACATTATCTTTGTTTAATTTTGTTTATATTCTCTTCTTACTCCTTATTTCTTACTTTTATGATTCCATATTATCATTTCATATCATATCTTTGTTTATGTTTATGTCATTTCTCTTTTGTCCACTTGGACCATATCTTGTTCAAAACACTAATAAAGGATAAAAAATCTCTAAAAAACTTGGTGTTGTTAACTTTGTGGTTATGCTCTTGGACTACTCTTAGACCTTGGACTTCATGGACCTTTGGACTTAGAATTAGGGCTCTTATTCCTATGCTTGGAGTATTGTGGATCTTAGCCTTTATTTAGCTCGCTCATTAGCTTATGCTTTAAATCAGATGGAATTCTTTTTTGCGTGCTATGGAGTGTGCTACAAGTCGGTTAGATCTTTCTTACCTCTAGCTCTTATTTTGGTTTCTAGGATAGTCACTTCATCTCCTCCCCTTCTTAAATTTTCAAAACTTTCTCCCTCTTTCAAAACCTTCTTGGTTTCAAACTTCAAAACCGCTTTAGCAATAAAACCTTGACTTTCGTCAAGTGATTTTTAAACTTTGTTTTTTCTTAATAAAAGTCATTCAATGTTAATCATACTTTGACCAATTTCAAAAGACATAAAAAATACAAAAACTCATCAACTCTTTTTGTGCCTTTATGCACTTTTTCACTTTAAAACTTTTCATAAAGTTTAGACATGATTCATTTCTATAGTTGAGATATAAATCTCCTATTCCCCATATTATTAAGACTTTGACATTTTCCACGTTGATATTGAGTGATAGTCTTGTTGATAATCCAAGCAAATCCTCCATCTTTATGTGACGCAGATGTTGTCTTAATACTTGTGGGTGGATAGTCGCAGTTTTCTCCTTGAAATGACGACTTGTCTTTACATCTAAAATCAATCAAAACCAACAAATTTTTGTCATTTGTACCACGAACTCTGGGGTTTTGATCCCATATTGCACTTTGTGGGTACGTATGCATGAGGCGATAAGTCTCTCCAAACACAAAAATCTAAAAAATAATTCTCTTCTCATCTCTCCAATCTCTTTTCAAACAAACCATTTTCAAACCAAAAAAACGTAAATATTTCAAAGGGCTCCTATAGAGTACTATAGACGTTTTGGGTGCTAACACCTTCCCATTGCGTAACCAACCCCTTACCCCAATCTCTGTCTCATGTTCTTATTTTAGAACTCTTTGGTTTTGTTCGCTCTTTTTCCTTTCCTTTATTTGGATAAAATAAAAGTGCGGTGGCGACTCTTGTTTTTTGAGTTAAGTTAATTAATAACTTACGCTCACGATTTTTACCGCTACAGAAAAGTGGCGACTCTGCTGGGGACTCCAACGGTTCCTAGTGGGTTTCGCCTACTTTGATTTATTTATTGTTTTTTTGTTTGACTTGTTTGTTATTGATTGTTCTGTTTTGGTGCCTGGTAATCTGTGGTGAGATAAGTCCTATACCCGGACTTGAGCGCACTTATGATAGAGGGGTGGTATAGTCTTGTTGGCTTACGTGGAGTAGTCCTTACTAAGCTGACTTGAGATCCCCCGCTCGGTGGAGGCCGCTTTGGAAATTACTGATGTCTTAAGAGTAGTCGTAATTGATATTACTTTTTCCGACTGGGAGCCTGAGAAGCTGAGGACCTTAGAACCCTTTAACCCATCTTGGCCTTATTAGGACGTGGTGCGGTGGCTGTTCAGGTGTAGACTTGAATTGGTCGTTACGCGATACCACACTCAGATGAGTTTCTCTTGAGAATATTGTTGGCCGACGAGTAGTCGTTTAAGCCGATAATATCCCAAAGATGGAATTATGATTCTGGGAACTTTTTAGAACCTTGTTCTACAAGTGATGATATAACCATAGTACATACCATTGTGGGTTGGTTGATTCTTACCTTTGGCTCCATGCTCGTGCCGAACCTTTGAACCTGTGTGCTTTGTATGTCTTGTTTGTGGG